AGAAAATTTTCGTGTGCTGTTTTAATCGCAATTTTAACTTCAGCTCTTATACGCTTAAATTTTTCCAAAGCCCTGATATCATTTTCTTTTTATATTGACGCCAAAATTTTGATTTTTCTCTTATTTTTTTAATTATACTGGGATTAAACCAAGGAGGATATGTTTTTTTAATATGCACTGAATAATTGGGTACGCAACGATCTAACACATTATACAACTTGCCATAAAAATATGTACAGGCATCATCGGCACTATAAAAGCTTTCTAAAAAAGTCCAGTCAATATTTGATATCGCATTATACATAAGTGGAAAATTTGCCTTACGAAAATTATAACAATTTGTATAAGAAGATTCTAGGTTATTTTTGTTGTCAAGTTTTTCCATTAATTCACAATTGATCTAAAGCTGGATGATGGTTATCTTCGGTTACTAAGGGATCTAAGGATTTCTCAACAATACAGCGGCCGTTGTAAAATACCAAATCTAAAAGTTTATTAAATTTATTGAAAACAAAATTATTTTGTGTTAGATCTGTGACATCAACAAAATTATTTAAAACAGTTAGCTTATAGCTAGTTTGTGGGATAGAAAGAGATAAAACGTAGTCGGCGATATTAAAATTATCAAGGATTATAATTTTACCTCCATACAAAAAGTTCAATGATTCCAGTGACTCAAAAAGGCTTTCGAATTCATCTCGATGCGTTTTTGGTGGTATATATAAATTGCACAAATATATATGCGTAAACTTAAATTTAATTTTTATCAAAAGGCAGTCTATAAAGTTTAAAACGGGGAAAGAATATTCCTGAAGATTTGTCATGGTAGAGACGTATTCTTCATGGATCGCAATCAGCACTCCACCACCCCTTGTTTTATCGCTTACTGAAAAATTTCTGTCAGATCTAAAAACATTAAATTCTGTATTAAATAATGCCGAGTTGATTATTGAGTTTCAGTTAAGGCAAAAAATTTACAATTACCTACTTTGAACAACAGAGTTAAAAACTTCTGCTGTTTTTATTCTAAGGCCGCGAGTATTCTGATAAAGGATTGATAGTTGTTTTTCATTATTATTGGAATCTGACTTGATCTGGGTTTACCGGGGTCAGTAGAAAATTAGTCTGTGGTTGCTATTCAAGTCCGATGTTAGATTTAAGTTAATTCAGAGTATCGATATAAGCCGAACATTTGTCCCTATCCCATACAGCATGATCAGTCATTATAATTGGATTTTTTAATTTTACGCAATTGGAGCAATTTTTACTCTTAAGTTTGCAGTCTTTTAAGTTGTGACCCTCACCACAAATTGGACAAGATACGAGTTTAGTGCATTTGAAACACCTGTACACCACTTATACACAATACAGCTGTCATACGCAAGATATAAATTTCCTGTTTTTAGTGCCCGATCATACACTGACTTATCTACCTGTACAATAGCTTGAAATATATCAGGATTTTTTAGTTGGAAAAATTTTTACAATTTTAACTACATAATTTTCCGAAATAATGTTTGTGTTACATGTAATAAGATAATTATAAAGATCTTCCGTTGAGTAGTTAACGGTAATGCCAACGATGCGAATTTTTTGAAGACTACCACCGATTTCTCTGATACTGTATCCGTTTGACATTTTCTCTTGAACTTCTCTTCAACTTTTCATTATCTGACTTGGTTTTGCAGGCAATCAAGTTTCCTCCATCTTTAACCGTTTTAACTTTTGTAAGCTGCAGGTTATCTTCACAGGGATTGACATATCCGCCTTAGTTTGATTATGCGGCTGACTGGTGTTCTTTGGATGAATTAAGATGATTGGATGCGACTTATCTTTTAGAACATCGGAGTATTTTAGTTGAGATGCGGCTGTTTTAGATTCGGAAATTTTGACAACATCTGATTTCATTGAGTTTATTTGTTCCTTCATTGAAGCTAGAGCATCGCTTAATTTAGTTTGAATAATATTTTGTACGCCAGTAGGGTTGAGCAAAATACAGTTTTTAACGCATGTCGGAGCATTTCCATAACAGCCCCGGTATTGCAATTAATAACTGTACGATATCTGCCGTTTTTGTGACACAGATAGCATGGTAATCTTTTTTGCAACCATCGCAAGCGATACCGGGCCGACCTCTGCTGATCACATTTAAACATGAGGTGCAATTAACCATAATGATTTTTTTTTATTCCATACCTGTTATCAACAATTTCACTTTACACAAAAGATATACATAGCACGGGGTACTTCTGAGAATTTTTGAATTTTTACTTAACGTTTACTAGCAAAAAGTAGTAAATATTCATATACGACGTGAAGGTGCCACCTTCTTTAATGAAAGTTTAATGGAATATACAGGGGTATACGAAAAAGTTACGCATATCTTCATTATTATTGGTCCGATTCGAATGAGATAAACGGTAGTCAACCTAAAATGTCCTATATTATATTTACCGAATAAATCTGCGCAGTAGCATCGCCAAAAGAACAATAATGCATATATTTGTTATTATTAGTGCGATTCAAGTGGGGGAAAAGGTGGGATGATTCTAAATGTCGTATTTAACAAAAAACATATTCATTACCGTATATCTTGATTATTATTGGTCCGATTTCAATGAGATTGAGTACGTATATCTTCGTTATTATTGGTCAGAATCGGATGAGACAAATGGAATTTAATTTAAACTGTCATATAGATACTATATATCACGGTTTGTAGATAACACGGTGGTCTCTTCCGTCCGTTGCTAAGGAAGGGTGTGTGTGGCGTCACGGAATGAAAATTCGAGCTCACAAAAAATATTCTGCTGCGGTTCGTACATTAGTTTTTTTTTTTAATCTAATATGTTGTTAATATTTAGTGGTGTTTATGTTTTTATTTTTGGACTATATACCTGTGTTGGAGTTTTTATAAAATCGTTAATTTGATTTTTTGAAAGACAAGCTACAAAACGGCATGGAAAAATTATGTAATGATTTCCATCAAATTTCAAATGAATAACTTTTTACTTAAATTATAAAGATAAATATTATTGTGTAAATGGTTCATTTTAAACATTTTGGATTAGGGTACGGCCTCCCAGCTGAATTCAGACCACACTTTGTTTATATCCCGAAGTATTTTGAAATGTTGGCAAACAATTTTTACTTTTTACACAAAAATCGTTAGAAGAAATAAAGGGACTGAGCCTAAACTGAAATTAAAGGCTACTGGTATGATTTTAGAGTAATTATTTTGCAAATATCATTCGCTATTATTAAATTCATTTGTCCACCCCACATTTAAAAGCAGATGAGATGGTTTCTTACAAACATTAAAAACTACGGAGAGGAAAAAGTTAAAGGGTTTTACCAAAAATACACATTTTTGAAAAAGGGTTTGCTACAGGAAGTTTTTAGTAAAAAGTACATAGTTATAAATCATTTTAAAGAAGAAAATAAGGGCCTTTTAGAGTCGAGAAGAAATTTTTAAAGTATCCACGGGAAGATATTTGAGTAAAAGGTGCCATATTTACCTCAGAAATTCTCTAAAGTATCCCTTGCTTGGATAAATCTAAGATACGGTCTTTTGGATGATTTATAACACTCCAAGTATATGTAGTGTTAAATCTCCTCTGTGTATTGTATGTAAATACAGGCCCGACGAGAGAGGGGGGGCAGAGGGTTGCAAAATCCCCATGAAAAATACAAGCTGATGACCTTTTCTTTTTAGATTTCACCAAGAAAATACTTTTTTTAGTAATTTAACTTGATTTTTAAAAAATGCTTCGCTATTTTCCGCAAATCTGCCAACCCTAGTTATATAAGGAGCCCTTGCCAGGGTTTTGGTGCCAGGGCCCGCCATGGCTCTCGGCGGCCACAATAGATGTAACTGTTTTTCTCTAATTTCGTACCTATGTTTATAGATTATTATAATAAAACTGGGTTGTTGTTGTTTTTTTTTTTTACTAAAAACTTCCTGTAGCAAACTCTTTTTTTAATAATTAGGTTCTTTTAGTAAAGCCCTTTGACTTTTCTTGCTCTTCATTGTGTTTAATGCTTGTAAGAAACCATCTCGTCTGCTTTTAAATGTAGGGTGGAAAAGGCTGCAATTAATTTAATAATATGGAATGATATTTTCAGAATAATACTCTTAAATCTTACCATTAGCCTTTAATTTCAGTTCAGACTCAGTCCCTTTATTTCATCTAACGATTTTTGTGTGTATAAAAATTAAAAATTGTTTGGCTACGGCTCGCTACAGGCTCGTCAACATTTCACAATATTTCGGGATATAAATAAAGTGTGATCCAAATTCAGCTCGCAGACCGTACTCTTAACTCAAAATGTTTAAAATAAACCATTCACACAATAATATTTATATTTAAAATAAAAAGTAATTCATTTGAAATTTGATGGAAATCTTTACATGATTTTTCCTTGCTATTTCGTAGCTCGTCTTTCAAAAAATCAAACTATCGATATTATAAAAACTCTAACCCCTGAACAAAGTTCAAAAATAAAAAAATATTGACCAGGAAATTGCTTCTATAGTAAGTACATATTATTTATTTACTTTTTCTGATGGGAAATTAAGTATTGATTTAATAGAGTGTGATTTGAACAGAACATTTTTGTACATTTTTATTGTAATCAATGACATTTATTCCATAAGTAATTATTGTTTTATTTTGTCAAACGATTAATAACTAAATTAATCATTTCATTTTATTACCACATTGTTCTGAAAATTATTAATTTTCAAAACTCGCGACTCGCCAAATTGTATTAAAAATTCTGCCTATCGGCAATCGACACAAATCCTACATGGTATTTTTGTAAACATAATTAAATATAATATCCTTTGGATAGAAAAGATAATATAGGAATTTTTATGATCTGGTTATGATTTTGATGTAATAAAAAAAAAAGATTTTATAACCGTTACATTTAATAACTATCACTGTAAATCACTGAATTTGTTATTAAATTTAGCTTTTTTTTGACAAATTTTTCAGGCCCAGAACCGTCTTTAAGAGATTTCCACACAACGGTTGTCATTCGCGACCGTATGTATTTATTCGGTGGTAGGGGGACATTGTTCAGTATAGGCCGATCCGAAATACTATACTGCAACGAATTGTGGTATTTAGATCTGAATTCATGGATGTGGTATAACGTTAAAGTTAGTGGAGATGTACCAGTCGGGAGAAGAAGTCATTCTGCTTGTAAGTATATTCAAGATTATTTAACACGATAACAACCAATGACAATCATTTATTCCAACACTCGCCAATCTGAAAATACTGCATGTTGTAGTTATGCAGTCTTTTCACTCAATCCCTGTTGGATTATATATATTACCATAGTAACATCAATGATTTATGCTCAACGTCAATGTGAAGTTTGTCAAAAAGGTGACAAAAAATGGACAACAATTGTATTGATTGTTAAAATATACATTTAAAATACATAATTGACTTCATCTTAGAGAAACAAAGCAAATATTGTTTATAAAAGTTTTGTTTATATTATTACATAATTTTCCAAATACCACGCTAGATGAGAATTTTGTTTGAGAACATTTTGTTGTTTCCTTACAAATTATGCAAATTTTCAAAGAAACAACACAATGTTCTATTACCCTTGATAATCCTGTAGTGCCATTTAAATATAATAATTACTAATTACACTTTAAATTAATAATTAATTACAAATTACAACCTTATTGTAGAACAATCAATAAGAAAAAATAAAAACCATAAATAATTAGGATTGGTTTAATTGATAAAAAAAGATGCTGTCAAATATAACAGACACACGCTCACATTAAATCATGATTAAGTTATAATCAATATAGTTATTGCAAGTTTCTGTAACGCCAGCCACTAATAGTTACAAAGGTATTAAAAGGGATTTTTTTTTAACATAGGTACCTACCTAAAATATCGGGAGTCTCATTTAAAATAGTTGTTTGTAATAACAAGAGTCGATTTGATGGTTATATTGCAGAAAGACGAAGTTTGAACACAACGCCATGCGATACGGAAAATCCTTTCGAGTTGTACAATATATTTTTTCTACGACCCACTAACGAAAATCTACAAAATTGAATTTAAGGGTTATTAAAATAAAAAGATCAAAGATCAATACTCTACATGTTATTTTAAGTTAATAACCTTTAAATTACTTATTAAAATCTTGTAAATTTTCTTCAGTGATTGGTAGAAAAAATATACTATACAATTTCTAGTGATTTCTCATATCGCACTCCGCCTATGTATCGTTGTGCTCTTCGTGTAATTTGGTCATTTTATCTATCCACTCTTGTTGTCAAACTACTATTTGGCTGTATAAATATTTTATCCAATTTTTTTAGATCGTATGTTTTGAAAATAACATACGAAAGTAGGTACTCAGAAAATCCTATTACCGTAACAAAGTCAGTCTTTACAATACTCACTGTTTGAATTAAAAAATTATGCACAAAAACAAATGTAATAGGTTTTCTCGAATCATTCCCTTTATTATTTGTTATTGTTTTTGAAATATTTGCATTTTTTAAAATAGTTCTGTGCCAACCATACTATATCGATTTCAATAAAAAAAAGGTATATTGGAATTTGAATAAAAATTGGCTTCGCTGTTATTCAGTGCTTTGACCTTATATTCACCTAACGAGCGAACTTAGGGAAAATAGTTTTAAGCAAAATACCTTATGAAAGGAGGTTCGTGTCTTAATAGGTTAGGTTTAATTTTGAAAGAGTAAAACCAAATTTGGTAGATTTTCACACTTTTATTTTAAAAATAAAAATTTAAAAAAAAAAAACACTAACATGACATATGTTTCGAAGTACAACTTCTTTTTCAAATGTGACTATTTACAATTCGGTATCCAATATATATACGAAATAATTTAACAAAACAAAGTACTTAAGAAAACATCAATAACATTACAAAATAAACTAACTATTTAAAGTTATCTGAATTCAGATAACTTACTAAATGATCAATTAGATATTAATAATTCACCCTTATTAAACCTCTTTCCCAGTTTTCTGTGAGATAATCCCGGTAATGGGCTATCTTATTGTTATTTGATGGATATTATAATTACCTAAGTACCCTTATTTACTTTAAATAGTTAGTTTATTTTGTAATGTTATTGATGTTTTCTTAAGTACTTTGTTTTGTTAAATTATTTCGTATATATATTGGATACCGAATTGTAAATAGTCACATTTGAAAAAGAAGTTGTACTTCGAAACATATGTCATGTTAGTGTTTTTTTTTTTTAAATTTTTATTTTTAAAATAAAAGTGAAAATCTACCAAATTTGGTTTTACTCTTTCAAAATTAAATGGATTTTCATCAAGTAAAGGCCGAAACAATAAATAATTTAGGTTAGGTTTAAACTGCCGCCTTAAGTTTTAGATAGTTGCAACTAATTTACAAAGGATATTTAAATGTACTCACATGTAAAACCTTAAGGATGGAAACGCCATTATAATGAATGTCCAATAGAGTTAGGCGATATTTCATCTTTGTAAGCTGACATTCTTTAGAAGTTTTTCTATTGGTTTTCTAAATATAGCGGATATTTAAGTTGTTAATGACTTAAGGAAACAACCTCATTTATTTGAATGTTACTAATAACTACAACCATTCAAAGAGTGGCGTTCGTTTAGCTCTATTTTTCTTCGAATTGACGTTGACGTCTCTATATTTAAAAATGTACTTTTAGGTAACTAGCTAAAATTGCATTCTGAATATGGATGTTAAATTCTAAGACTTTTTTTAAATTTGATCGTCTATAAAAATCATTTTATAGGGACTTTTTACGTATTTAAAATTACGAAATAGAGGTCTACTTGTGTATACAAGTTTACTATGACCTAATGCCCTTAACAACCAATTCAGTCAAAAAAACGTTTATTTTAGTTGTTTATGATGATAAAATGTACATATTCGGCGGTTATAATTCAACGAGAGAGGAACATTACAATCATATGTACGAATTCAACCCCAAGTTGAGTATGTGGAGGAAATTGGATATCGTCGGAAAAAGGCCTTGTCGAAGAAGACGACAGGCGTGCGTTGTAGTAGGAGACAGGATGTTTATTTTTGGAGGCACAAGGTAATTCACCATTACATTGTCCAGTTGATTATGTAGTTAAATAACAGTCTGATAACTTGTTAGTAATAATATTTTATGCACCATTTATTTTAGACTATTCAGTCTGATAGCGAAAAATCACGAGGAATTTAAGTTGGTCGCCATTTGTATCTAACTTCACTTTTATTTAATTCTAAATAAAAAAGACTAAATATCTAAAATAAAAAAGGCTGTAAATTACATGAAAATAGATAAATAACTTAACTTTGCTAGTAAAAAAGAATATAAAGTTTATCAAAAATAAGATAAATCTCAGGACCTATAAAATTTGATGTATTTTTGATATTGGTTTTCGTTCACTGTCTCGTCAATATCTTGTTAGAAATTTACATACTGTGTTCTTATTTAAACTAAATCTCTTTTTAATTCAATGTCATATAAACCGTTATTTTAATTTTTTCTTAGTTGTGTTACACTTCCTCTTTCAGATTTCATCTTCGCTTTCTGATGATGATGATGATGATGATGATGGTTTAGAGAATGAATTAAAATTTAGTCTGTCAGTAATTTTTATTATAATGGTCTTGCTTTGTGAATATTGAAAACAAGAGCTTGATTAGCAAATTGATAATTATTTTTTCTACTACCCTGCGTAAAGTATATACTAAAGTATATACTTTCATTAGTATGTAAGGTAAAAAAAGTTATTTTAGTGAAAAAAAAAAAACTATTTTCTAATATTAATGGATAATGTGTATGGTAGTAGAAAAAATATTGTATGCAACTTGTGTGTAAAGTCCCTTTTTTGTCTGATTGACTGTCGCACTCGCCTACGACTCGTGCGACAACATTCACATTCGTCAAAAAATAATAACTTTACACACTTGTTGCATAAAGAACTATTTTGACATGATGCATAAGAAAACTTTATTTTAACAGTTTGTTACATACTTAAAGAATTGTTAATGAATAACAGAATATTGGTAAATACGACCGTTAAATATGATTTATGACAGTTTTAGTAGCTATCAGACCACACGGTCAGGCAGTTAGGAATATGATAACGCATCTCATTAATTTCAATCTAAATTAAAAATGAGACAATTTTTTTTTAGCCCCCATCCATCGGCCTCGTTGAATATATCAAACAGAAACATAGATGACAAATTAATAGACCACAGCGATATGTATGTATTGGATTTCAAACCGACATTGAAAACCTTATGCATTTTGGCTGTTTGGAAATACCATTTAGATGAATCTTCTCTACCTTCTAATATTAAGTAAGTGTTGAAATGTTAGATAGCCATTCTCATTCCCTTGAAATTATTCCCTACATTAGTTGCCTCCAAAATGTTTGTACAGTTTATACATAAATTGCGTACTTATATAAAATAAATTGGGCTCTGTACTTTTTTTATCTTAAAACTTTCAGATCCTCAAACAACGGCCAGTTAAACAGAACTGGCGGCATATTTTACGTTAATATGCTGACTTTAGAATAATATTAAGGGATGCATGTGCTGCCACCAATCTAAATGCGTTATTTTGCGAAATTAAAAATGTTTAACCTACCCCGTGTTTCAACTTTCCCATACTTATTTCCTGCGAGTATGATATTTGATATTAAATCATATAAGTACCACAGAAATAAAACTGGCGGCCGAGTAATCTCCGAACTTAAGCGTCAAAAGTACCTATTATTTTCTCTGTATCGAGAAAACCTTTTTCAGCTCTTTGCATTCTCATATGGGCCTTATACAACGGCCTTCTAGTATTTCTATAGATTAAACTGACAAAAAGTCACACACACACATATGTATAAACTTTCAGTATACATGTTGTTTAATTTTATTTTAGGTCCGACATAAGGAATATGTACTGCCCGAATAAAATATCTTTGACTAGACCATGTAATTCGGCCGGATAAGAAAACAAAAATGGAGATGGAATGTTATAGATTGTACATACTTGGTTTATTTACATATATATACATAGAGCGCCTATTTTTTTATTATTTATTAATTATTAATTTGTGATATCAGGTATAGAACGTGAATATCTACTGTAATTTGAATAAACAAACTCTTACTGACGCTCAATATTGTAAAGTTAATTATTTAACACACAGTTTTTGAAATGATGTATAGGAATAGTTTTTGCTGTCAAAAGAATAATTAACTTTTTCCTAATTTTAGTTGTACTGAAATAATTATGATAAAATTTTTAATGATTTTTTGAGAGAATATTGATACAGTAGATAAACATTTATTAATAAAAAATTGTCCAAAGAAGTGTCTTTTTATCCAATCAACAAAGATCATGGCCTTATACAACATAATCCGTTTTGTAACCTTTTGTGTAACATTTATAACATGTTTCAGAAACATTTTCTGGAAAATATTTAACTGACATATTTCAGAAATATTTCAGAAACTTGTGGTTGAAATGGTATGTTTAAAACGTTTGAAATATTTCTGAAACACTTCTGAAATACTGTGTGCCGTATGGACAACGGCCAATATTGCATTGTCATCCGGACATTGTTGTTGAATACTTCTGGCGTATAATTAAAGAACCGGTCCCAGAACACTGCCCTATGGTACACCAGCTTTAATTTCTTTGATTTCTTGCTAATGCTCATTATTTCGTAGGGGTATTTTTGAGATTTGTTTAGGGACTTCCAAAGAATTTAATATCTTAGTTTTCGGAAATACAACGGATGTTTCCAAGACTACGAAATCGACTTTTCACTATGTATAGATCATTTATTAGGTTTTAGGGTTATATCGTTTTGATTAGAAAATTTAACACTAAAACTGACTAGGTACTTAAGAAAATTTAGTGGCAAAATTATCATATAATTACATAAATATGTAAGGATTTAAAATAAGTCACAATTCAAGCAATTATCACAGTACCCGGATTTAAAATGTAATCCCCGAAATTTGTCCAGACATAATTCCAATATTTCGGATCACCTCTAGGATCTAACGGAAGGTTTCCAGGTGGTATAGCCGTCTTGTTGTAGGCATTCAACAATAGTGTTAAATATTCGACAATAATTGGGAAACTACAATAAAAACGACACCATTAATATTAACATTTTGAAATAAATTTACTTAAATGTTAGGTTATTTCGTATAAAATAATAGTTATTTGTATACCAAGGCCGTAAAGTTGATTTTTTTGGCCGAATCAAAAATTTGCGGCCGTGGCGTAGCCGAGGCTAAGCAACTTCTAGTAAGGCCAAAAAAGATCAAACGCGAGGTGCACACAACATTTTTTAGGCGAGTGTCTTATCAAACAGATTTAATATTTTTTTTTTTACATTCTTGTTTATGAAAAGAGGCTTAAATTTAAGAATGGTTTAACATTTTTATTGATGGAATAAAAACCCATCGTTAACTAAAAATATTTGTACAGAATTACTAACGTTAAGTACGACAAACTTGTGTTTATAAAAAGCGGCCGTATATATTATAGTAAATACGGCCAAAAAAGTGACACTTTATTAGGGATGTAATTGTATGGTCCGTTATTAACCGCAATATCGGTTACTCGGTCCAAAACTAACCGCAATATCGGTTACTCGGTCCAAAACTAACCGCTCTGCTTGACATTCCTGAAAAATCGGTTAAATTAGGGACGCGGTTACCTGAAAATTGTGACTCAAACGTCAATTCACTAACCGCTATATTTTTACGGTTACTATTAAGTCGAATGACAATGGACAATTTCACACTGGGCGACACGGCAACGGTGCCGACACGATATGCGGCAGGTGATTTACACATTCAACGACACGGCACATGCAGTTGTTGTGTCGTTAATTATGGCGGGTAGCAACAAATTATATTTACTCTATTACATTTGAGGCGCAAGAAACGATATAAGCAAAGGCATTTATGGGTACATCCGATTATTAAAGTGAAATATTTAGAGGGTACCTATTATACTCTGTTTGAGAAGTTGGCTAATGACCCAAATAAGTTTTTTAATTATTTTCGTATGAGCAAAAATACATTTGAGTACATATTGGAGAAAATAATTAATATGATCAAAAAGCAAGACACTGGATTTAGAATGAGCATACCACCTGAAGAAATGTTGGCAGTTACAATAAGGTAAGAAATAGTTCCTCATATCCATCCTCCAAAAACTGATATATTTCCTGCCAACTTTTATCACGAAGTATTTTGTTTTTATTATTTTCATGGATTTTGTCCCAAGTACAAGGCTTAGATTCCACTAGTTCAATTAATGTGACGATGTCGTATTTGAAACTGGCCATTTTTCCGCCCAAAGTTTTACAACAACACCGATGATTTCCCACCGCTTACAAAAATGCAACTATTTTGAACGAAAAATCGCCACGACAAGGCGGGACTGCTTGCTCCTCGACGACATGTCGTTTCTTGCAACGACACGACACCGACAAGTCGTCAAGTGTGAAAGTATTCCTATTAATTACATGAGGTAAGGCGTCCACCGACACCGTTATCGTTGACGTGTCGCCCAGTGTGAAAACGCCCAATCCTGACACAAAAGTGACGTAAATCTCGGCCGTGATCCAAATGTAACCAAGAAATTAGTTTTTTTCAGGAAACGTTGTCAGAAAATCCTGGTTACTTGCGGTTAGTAGTCTGTTAATATCGGACCATACCCTTAATAAATCCGTAAAATGTCAGTTTTTCTGACAGTCGCCTAAAGAATAAGTTGGCTCTGGATTATATCATATTAAATTGCGAATTAGTTTCACTAACTAATAAATAAGCCAACTCGTAAATATGACGGATTTGAATATTTATAATTATCGAAGTCATTTTTGATTCATTAGACTAGGAAAGAGAGGGGAAGCGTATATGTTTGTTAATTTTTTGTTAAATCCAGGATGACTTTGATAACACTGCACAGCATCATTTCTGATGATTGAGTTACATTACATGACACTAGCTTAATTTTTAATGAAGACTTCAAATCTGTAATCTAAATTTCTGTATTAGCTCTAGTTTAGAAAATATGACACATGGCCGTTTCATAGTAAAACACAGTTTGTTTAAAGGTATTCATATTTTATTTAGTTCTTAAGGTGAAAAAACTTTCTTTTATAAGATTTCCTTGCAGAGGTTGAACCCATAGAACTGTTCTGAATGCTCCAACAATAGTCAGCCATCATGTGTGCGTTCCAGTAGCCTTGATACCGTTCCTCCATCGTACGAAGGTCCTGGTGGAATCGCTCGCCCTGTTATTCACTTAGATCCCTAAGATTAGCGGGAAAATAATCTAAGTGGTTTTGAAGAAAGTGCAACTCGATGCTCATGTTACATCCAAGGGTTTGAAAGTGACTCATTAGTTGCTCAACGTGTTGAGAACTTTTCTTATTTCCCAAAAAATTTTGAACAAGCCAAATAAACTCATTCCATGCGTTTTTCTCAATTTCTGTCATAGTGTCCGTAAATTTTGTGTCTTTTATTAATGATCTTATCTGTGGCCCATCGAAAATACCCGCTTTTATCTTTTCTACACTCAGTTTCGGGAATTTTTTTGATAGAAATAGAAAATAATTTCCAGTTTTGTTAAGACCTTTAACAAACTGTTTCATTGGCCCTAATTTTATATGCAACGGAGGCAAAATTATACGATCTCTTGGCACTAAAGGTGGGTTTCTCACGTTTTGTTGCCCTGGAACTAGATCTTTCCGAGTAGGCCAATCCTTTTTAACCCAATGTTGATTTTTAGCTCTACTATCCCACAAGCAAAGAAAACAAGGATACTTTGTGTAACCACCTTGCTGGCCTAATAGAACGTTGACCATTTTTAAATCAACGCATATGATCCAGGTATTTTCCACATATTTAATTTTGTCCAAAACCAAAGCAATAGTTGTATATTCTTCTTTTACTTTTGTAGAATGTGCAATAGACAACGACCCTAATTTATTCCCATTGTGTAAGAGAACATATTTTATACTCCATTTTGACGAGTCTATGAATAAACGCCACTCACTAGAAACATAATTTTGTAATCCCATTGCAGCCATCAATCCAGGTACATCTTTACAAAATACGAAATTGTCTTCTTCAGCAAAATATTTGAGGAAATTCTGTGCTCTTGTGCGGTAATAAGAAATTTTAGTTTCTTTCGTTACCAATTTTCTTTCTTTTAGCCTTGAAGCCAAAATTTCTGAAGCTGACTTTGACAGTCCCAGATCTCTAATTAAGTCGTTTAAATCATCTTGATTGAATGGTTTTGGCTCAAAGTCACTATCACTATTGTCGTTTTTCGTCTCAAAATCTTCTGGCTCTTCCTGTAAAGTACCAGATTAAGGTTCAGGTGTAGACTTAGGGCTCAGGACACGTCTATGTGCCGATTGTATGGAACGAAATTCCCATTTGGCTCGATTTTTTCAGTTAATACCAGTTATGTTCACCAAACAAAAATAACAATCGTCATGGTGGTTCATGGGTTCATTCCAAATCATAGCGGTTTTGTACCTGAAGCTATATCTTTTCTTATTTGTCCATAAACGTAGGAACTCAACGCATGTTTTGCATACCTTTTGCGGAATCCAAGGCTTATTCTTCATTTCCAGCGGGTGCCCAAAGTAATTTTTGTAAGACTCATTTACGAACGTTGTCACATTTAAACGGTATTCTTTAAATACATGCTCTCCGCAAATAAAACAAAAATTGTTAGAATCATTCACACATACTCTTCTTGACGATGCCATATCAAATTACAAAATAAAACAATAATTCAAACAAGAAATATAATTTCACTATTGTCTTACTAAACCTTCCCCTAAAATAAAAGATCATTTCTTAAGAATTCTGAAATTGGGTTTTACTCATTAAAGAGAGGTACCTCTTAGAGCTGTAAAAGTAACGAGAAAACCAATACCCGTATGTATTCGTTACTTCAGATCTGACTACCCGTATACAAATATTCGTTACTCGTTACTTTCGTTACTGGGATGCGAATCTACAGAACATGCGGCGCATGGGCCTCGCACACGTCTAATGCGGATGCGGAATTGGTGTCTAACTAATCGTACGTACGTTGTTAGGTTAGTACTGTCTAACAGGGGGTGCGGATGAGATTAGATATCGAATCGTTGGTTAATTAAATACGTAGCGAATTTGTAATTAGTAACAAAGTCGTGTAGTTCACTGAGCATGAGCAATGACGTAAAGTTCTGCAAAATGAAATATCGTCAGACAGAAACATATATAATTTTCTAACACACTAGTAGAAACAATAATAATACTCCATAAAATCATAACTTGAATAAACAAAAACATATTATATTCTTGCAACACGCTAACAGAAAAACAACTATTATACTATTCTATAAAACCAAAATAAGTCCCAGTCGGTGTGCGACTTGATAGTCGATAGAGAGTAAGTGTTCTGTGGTCGATAGCTCGATTCGCATCAGACTCACACTCGCATTTCGCATCTTGCACACCAACCGGTATGTTTGTGCGATATGCGACGATGCGGATTCGAGTAACGAAGTAACGAAATTTAAAATGCAGTAACGAATTCGTATTTCGTATCTGACCGACTACCCGTTACTGAGTAACGAATACATACGGTTTGCCACAGCTCTAGTACCTCTACCTCAGGGATGGGAAACTGGTATGCGCAGGCCTGGGATCAATCAACCACGTCCGCGTGGCGCTGCAGTCGGGTGGTGGGGTAGGTGGTGGGAGTGTAAATGACAGATGAATATTGATTTTTGTGGGGGTGTCATGGCGTCTTGGCTTAAACCAAACGTGAACTTTGTTTATTTATATTGGTGACTGTTGTATTCAGTTGTTTTCATTTCCAATTTGCTTAATTGATTTTAGTTGACCACTGTTAATAAGCTTGTTTTTCCATTATAAATTTGTGCTTTTTCCGCTGTTATTTTGTGGTTTTTCATAAAGATGCGTAATTATAGAAAATGTGTACCGAATTGCCTTGTTGTGGACAACAAGATGCATCGCCTGCCTCAGCCTACGAATTCACCCGATTTATTTGATATTTGTGCACTTGCTGTTCGTTGTCCAAGATTTAATAATAAAACAAGACTACAAATTTATTCCACCTTTGTAGTATGTCATAAACATTTTGAAGAGAAGTATAAAGTACTTGGCTCTCGTCGAGGTCTAACACCTGAAGCATTTCCAACGCTATTTCTACCAGCAGTTCCTGGAAGAGTAGCGGATGGACTTTCCTCAAATAACGTAGAAATTGAATATGTTGATCAAACACCTACTTCAAGTAAAGGTTCGAAGAAGAAGCAGACTAATAATATATGTTGGACTTCTTTTCGAGAAGGAAAGTTAGTAATCTACTCATTTATTTTATACTTATACTGTAGTTTCTGTTTCATGACATTTGGGGTTGCAAAGCAGTATCGTAGAAGAAGAAGAAGAAGAAGCAGACTAATAATATATGTTGGACTTGGACTTCTTTTCGAGAAGGAAAGTTAGTACTCTACTTATTTATTTTATACTTATTGCTGTGTTTGAGAATCCACATCAGATGCATTTTTTACATCTCGAGCGTTTTTTTATCCACATACCTATATATAAAACGTTTATTTAGTCAAAAAAACTATTTTTTACATGTCAATACATCTTCACGTTTAAAATATAAAAAATACATAAATATAGAATCAACATACATTTAAAATGCAATTAAAAATACATAAGATACAGTACACTTACATGTCAACTATACAAAACAATAAAAGAACAAGAAAGAGGAAAAAAAACGACAATAGGTGAACAGGTATTCACGCAGTTTTATTTTAAATATTGCCACATTTGAAGAACATTTAATATCCTCAAGCAAATTATTAAAGGCCTGTACACCTTTAAAAAACACTGGATTTTGTGTACATTTTTCTTATTACCTGTTTAGGTTCATGAACATCCTGATTATAACTTTAAATATTTTGTAAATATACTCGGGAGATTCATGATTTAATTTTAAATATAAAAAGCAGGGAATAGAATAGCAAATATTTTTAACAGGCAACCACTGAAGCACATTCAACATGGAACTGATTGGTTCCAGTCTAGAACAGCTCAGTATTCTCCTCAGACCTCTATTCTGCAACTTTTGCAATCATTGCAACTCATTCTGGTTGAGCAAATACAGTATAGTGGCACAATAATTAAAATAAGGTAATATTAAGAGTATTATAAATTATTATTTTAGCCCATTTGCCGAGATGTGGAGAGCAGCGCCTCAAATAGTTTATTTTAAATCGGACACATCTGTCCCATTACATTTACGTAAACTGAATCACATGATCAAAGTTTTACTACATATCAGTTGCATCCGATGTGGATAATCAAACGCGGCATATACTGTGAAATTTCTGTTTCATGACGTTTGGGGTTGCAAAGCTGTATCGTAGATGTTGGACTTATTAAAAAATAAAGTATTCCTCGGACTTATAATTTTTTATTAATACATTTATTTTAATGAGATTGTACTTATACTGTCTTTCTTTTTTCACAGCTAAAGTTCTTCACAAAATGATGGACAGTGTTGTATCCTGGAATATGTAGCAGCCATCCAGCTACTTCATACATAATACAATTTTCATATACATTACATTTTTTAAATATTGGATTTGTATTATATATATTCTTTAATAAATTTATTTTTTGAATATTCTTGTTTTTTTTTTATCTAAAAACTGTTAGCCAAATTAATATTTGTTCACACAAACTGCATTTTTGCTTTATTATAGCGATATTCGCTATAATAAAGCAAAAATGCAATTTGTGTGAACAAATCTTAATTTGGCTAACAGTTTTTAATGCGGATATTTTTTACTGTCAAATTTGAATAGCCCCGCGCTTTTCTTCTTTTTATTATTTTCTCTTCTTTCATATGGCCTCTTACCAGACAAGGACTTAATTGAAAAAAAATCAACCACGTCCACCAGGTGCCGCTAAAAACTCTATCATCCTTTTTTAACATGGGAGATACCGTTCTAAGAGTAAGTGTTCTGTGCTCTACCTTTATAAGTATGTTCTAAGAAACTACAGAGGGGTCGTTAAAGAGGATTATAAATTAATGGTATTTCCAAATAAAATTAAACATTTATAATAATGCAATAATTATTATTAAACAAACTGCAAATAAACACTATAATACAGCGAATTTTTAGTGAAAGCTATAACTCGTAAACAAGAGCTGTCAGAAAAAAAGTGGAGGTATATTTATAGAATCAGCGACTTAAAATTAGTAAACATGTAACATAAGTCATTCATCAGTCAAAAAGTGTAATTTGGTTGGCCAGTGTAATATAACATAATAATATTACAACATTGGTATTTTAAGGACAAAATCAAGTAAGGAGTGATCCACAAAAAACTTTTTCTAAAGGCCTTGATTAATGATCACTTGATCACTAGATAACTAAATATGTATCATGTTAAAGACAACAGGCCCACAGGAATGCCATATAATAAAATAACCTGTCATTACCCACGGGGAGCATTTTGTCGGTATAACGCCTAATATGTGAGACAGTCATAAGAAGACATATAAATAAAAATACGTTGATCCCTAGTATGGTCAACTTAATCAAATTAATAACATACTTTCATTAGTCAAAAAAATTCTTAATATATATCATTCCGAAATTTAAAGGACCATTTGTTTCTTTTTTTACCTAATAATAACACTGTCTTTCTTACCTTTTCGTAAAACAGCTCAAAATATACAAATATGACAGTACGGCTTCTCTGGCACCAAAAAAGGAGTCCGATCGACATTTTGGTCGTAACTCTCTACAAGTTAAGCGTCCACTTTCTTTCCTATTCTAAAATTGGACTTAAGAATATTCTAACTTGGAAAATTTCATCATCAACATATTTCAAGAAGGTTATACAGGGTGTTTCTAAATTCATGCGACAATATTCAGTATGAAATTTAGATGGGTCTGTCCTATAATAAAATTTCCTCAGCCCACCCCTTTTCGAGATATCACGCTTAAAAGGTGGTGACTAAAATTTAGTTTTTTTTTTTCTAAAATTTCAGTAAAGCTAGAAACTTGAAATTTTGTAATTTTCGTGCACTCGCAAAGGACTAACCACGGGTATTTTTTCAATATTCCTGTTACATTATAGGGGGGTGAAATTAGCAACCCTTACTTTATTTCATATCAAATCTTTTTTTCGAGATGAAGTTTTATGAAATAAAATTAATTTCACCCTCTATAATGTAACAGGAATATTGAAGAAATACCCGTGGTTAGTCCTTTGCGAGTGCATGAAAATTACAGAATTTCAAGTTTCTAGCTTTATTGAAATTAAAAAAAAAAAAAAAATAAAAACTCAATTTTAGTCACCACCTTTTAAGGGTGATATCTCGGAAAGGGGTGGGCTGAGGAAATTTTGTTATAGGAAAGACCCATCTTAATGTCATATGAGCAATAACCTCCTCAATTTTGTCGCATGAATTTAGAAACACCCTGTATCAAACTGAACATTTTGTTAAATGTATTTTGTTGAATTAAATCTAATCTAATTATCTACGTATGAGAAAGGAAATACAAAATCCGTACCACATAATTATTATGTGGCACGGATTTATTATTGAATTGAATATATGAAATGATAAATTTAAAAAAGTTTAGGTACCTTTTAGCTTTGTTGTGACGTTCACACGGATCGTCATCTATATTAAACAAACATAGCTCTTTCAACAGATTGCATGTAGTATTAGAAGGTTCAGTGGTAGGACATTCGATAGTCGCCTGGGGCCTCATTGTTTGAATTTGATCTACTGTAGGTGCTCTGTTAATAAGCTGAAGAGCTTTACCAGCTGGAGACTGAATCACTAGTGGTATACTGTAATTGTAACCTGTTCTTCCGCTTGGACCAAACCATTTATCCCAAGTACCGTTGTAAGTAGTACCTAAGACAAAAAGTTACCTACAGCTAGATACTAGTGTACAATGAAACCTTTGGTGCAATAATAACAAAGAATACAATTTTGAAATTGAAGATGATTTTCCGCAACCTTATTCATTTTTTTCCATGAGTCATTGTTGGGTGTTTTCTCCAAATCACCAGATGCGTAAAACAAAACAAAAATAACACTGGCCAAAAAAGAAAAGTGGAACAATAGATGTTTTCATCGAAAAACATATTGCAGTTACAAGTATAGATTGCTTTATTTGTAAATTAAAGAACCTATAAGATTTTTAATTCTTTTTATTTCCAATTGACATTGAACGTATATATATATATTCCAAAAAAAAAACTGTCTCCTTGACAACACTAAACTCTAACTATCTATCACTAAGAACTAAGGTATATCCTCCAAGAAAGGCTAATAAGAAGGGTACTAAGGTTAATCCCTACATTCTCCAGCCTCCAATCGAAGTAGACTATTAACGGGTCGTACAAGATAACCATTTTGAGTTTTTAACTCCACACTTCGAACTTGTTTGTCTCTTCCTGGAAATGTTTTGGTAACACGTGCCATCTTCCATGAATTTTTCATGCCTGTATCGGGTATGGCTACCACTTCACCAATTTTAATATTTTCATTTTTAACGTGCCGTTTTTGTCTCTTCTGTTGAAGTGGAAGATATTCAATGAGCCAACGTTTCCAAAAATGTTGGGATTTAACCTGTGCTATTTTCCATTGCTTCCTTCCGTAAATGTTGCTATCGGGAAAATTTCCGGGAATGTTTTCCGTATTCGCTGTACCTATTAAAAAATGCATTGGTGTTATGGCTTCCAAATTGTCTTCATTGTCACTAGATATGAAGCTTAGTGGTCTTGAATTGACAATGCTTTCTACTTCCGCCAGAAGAGTTTGTAAAAGCTCTTCAGAGGGATGCATCTCCTTCAGTATTACCCTCAATACAGTTTTTACTGATCGTACCATTCTCTCCCACACTCCTGCCATGCTGGGAGCTAAGGGAACATTAAATATCCACTTGGTACCTTCTTTCTCTAAATTTTCTATTATTTTTGTCTGATTTATTTCTTGTAAACACCTTTTCATTTCTGCTTCCGCACCAACGAAATTACCACCATTGTCCGAGTGTATTTCTATTGGTCTTCCTCTTCGTGCCATGAATCTCTGCAAGGCCATCAGTGCCGAGTCTGTGCTAAGATCGCCAGCCATTTCAATGTGTATGGCTCTGGTGTTCAAACATGTAAAAAGGGCTCCATACCTTTTTACAATACTTCGTTTTATTTTCACCAGTAACGGTCCAAAGTAATCTACGCCACAGTAGCTGAAAGGGCGACTGAATGGCTTAAGTCTACATTCCGGTAATGGTGCCATTTCGGGTTGTATTGCCTTTGCTCTTCGAATTTTACAATATGCACATTCCTTAATTACTAATTTTACAGTTTCTCTAACACTAATAATCCAGAACTTTTGTCTTATATTATTAACAACAGTTTCTCTTCCAGTGTGCTTCACCTTTTCATGAAAGGACTTTACTAAGAGCTTTACTATTTTGTTTTTCTTTCCAGAAGGTAATATTATGGGGAATTTTGAATTAAACTCAATATCGGCGTAGATTATTCTACTGTTCATTCTAAGAACTCCTGCATCATCCAAGAATGGAGACAATTTCAACAGAGGAGAACTTGTAATCTTTTCTTTCTTTTTAAGACACTCTATTTCTTCACTAAAGGTTTGATATTGTATGTATTTGCATATTACTTCTTCCGCTTTTTGATATTCTTCTACTCTTAATTCTGCATTACTTTTCCGGCTATTTAAATTCTTTAAATTATATATAAATCTAAGTACCCAAGCAGTAGAACGTAGAAAACGAGACCACTTCGAAAATCTTATAGGATCTGGTAAGCAGTTCCTCAGAGAAATTTTATTTTCGGCTATGGCTACTACATTTACAGAAAACCTGCGTAGTTTTTCTTGTGATGTTTTCATAACTTTCTCCATAATTTCTTTATTTTTTAAAAATGGCGGACCTTGCAACCATATATGTGATTCTAAAGTATTCTCTCTTCGTCTATCTTTTGTAGCCAAATCTGCAGGATTATCTTTCGACGAAATCCAATTCCAGTTACGTGCTTCTGTTAGCTCTAATATTTCTTGAATTCTGTTAGCCTCAAAGGACTTCAGGCGATGCTTTGGAGAACATATCCAATTTAAAACAATTTCTGAGTCAGTCCAAAAATATGTGTTCAATATTTTATATCTAGTTTCACTATTAACTAATTTTCCCAATCTTGCAGCTAAAACGACGGCCTGAAGTTCCATACGTGGGATGGTAACTAGCTTTCTTAATGGTCCAATTTTGCTCTTAGCAGAAATAAATGCTACCTGGATATCGTTTTCGTCATGTTTACTTCTATAGTAAGCAACGCAGCAAAATGCCTTTTCTCCAGCATCAGCGAATACGTGTACCTCTACTTCCGTAACAATTTTGGAAAAATAACATCTGCAAATTCTGAAATTCTCAATATTCTTTAATTTTATTATCCATTCTTCCCATATCGTATGTAATTCTTTAGGAACCTTTTCGTCCCAACCCAATTCTCTTCCCCAACATTCTTGAAAAATAAGTTTTCCCAAAATGATCAAAGGTGACAAAAATCCAAGAGGGTCAAAAATGCTCATTATGACTTTTAAAATATCTCTTTTTGTGGGTACTTCCTTATTATTTAAAATATTATGTGAAACTTTATCAAATTTTAATGTAAATTCAAAATTATCATCTTTTGTATTCCAATATAAGCCGAGAATTCTATCTAAATTTTTGTAATCCAAATTTATATTATTCTTTTTGCATATGTATTCTTCTGGAAGTTCTTGTAGTAACTTTTCAGAATTGCTCATCCAATTTACCATCTGAAATCCACCTCTTCGGTGTATCTCAATAACCATTTTTACCGTGTTCAATGCTTCTTCCATAGAGTTTTTTGAGTCTAGGTAATCATCTACGTAGTGCTGCTTTAACATTATTTCCATTATTTGGGGGAAGTCGTTTTTATGAAGTTCGGCATTAAAATTTTTTACAAATTGTGCTATTGATGGAGAACAAACTGCACCAAAAATCAAAACCCTCATTTCATACACATCTGGGGCTCGGTTTCTGTCCATCCCCCTAAATAAAAAAACGTTGACAACTTCGATCCTTTGCCCTTATGACCACCTGATGAAACATTTCTTTAATGTCGCCCGTAAATGCTATCTGTCCTTCTCTAAATCTAAATAAAATCCCAACTAGTAGTGGATAAAAATCCGGGCCAGTTAATAGAAAATCGTTTAAACTTGTTCCAGATACTGTAGCTGCAGCATCAAAAACAAATCTTAATTTTGGTTTCTTGGGATTGATTACTCCAAAATGTGGAAGATACCATGTCTTGGTATCCTCTTCTAGATTGATGGAAGACAGCTTCTTTGCGTAACCTTTTTTAATATATTCTTCTATTTTCTGACAATATTTTTCTGCGAACTCTCTATCTTTATCCATTTTACGTTCCATACATTTTAATCTGGTGTAAGCCATATTGTAGGTTTCAGGTAATACTATATTATTTTCTTTCCAAGGGAATCCTATTTCAAATCGATCATCCAATTTTCTAATAGTTTTATTATAAATTTCCAATGCTTTTTCATCATTTTTAGATAATTTTTTAGAATTTTCATAGCAATTCTCTATTTCAAAATGATCTTCAATAATTTTATTTAAGTAATCTTCATCATGTCTACATAGATTAACTAATCCTAAACGATGATCTTGTTGTGAATAAGGGCCATGAATAACCCATCCCAGAAGGGTTTTACTTAATACTACTTCGTTATAGTTTGGCTGAATAATTTCTTTAGGTATTAAAAGAGAAACATTGTCCTGACCTATCAGAACCCTCGGTTTTGCATGTTTAACTGCTTCTAATATTTCAGGATCTATGTAGGGATACTTCATGCACAAAAATTCTACATCAAGTGACTGTTCAGGTAAATCTAATTTGCTTATTGTTCGAGCATTTTTGATCCTATAGGACTTAGATGGATCTTGATGAGAACATATATCAAAATTTACTATCTTAGAAGAGTCATCATTATAATTAATTTGAGTAGCCCATTGCAAACAAATGACAGAGGTAGGTCCTTGCAAATTAAGGATTTCAGCAAGGTCTGAGTCTATTAGAGTTACCGTAGAACCTTCATCCAATAAGGCATATGTATCAATGCATTTGTTATTATTTTGGAGGGTGACTTTAACTATCTTTAGAATTACTGTTTGGGGCTTGATAGTGTTTCTTTTTAATACGCATGTTGTTTCTGTAGTTTCTAATATATTTGCAGCCAAGTGCCGTTGTTCATCTGTTTTTTCATAGTTTTCTTCATCTGACGCCTGTTCATCAAGTTTAACTTTACTTTTCCCATTGTGAAGAAGACGATGATGTATTCTTTTACAATTTCTAATATTACATACTATTTTACTGTAGCACCTTTTTGCTACGTGTCCTATATTTAAACATCTGTAGCATATTCTGAATTCATCCGCACATTTCTTTCGATCATCTACATTCATCATTAAAAATTTCTTGCACAGATATATTTTATGGGCTTCGTTTTTACATACTGGACATTCTACTATTTTAGCAGGCTGGATGTTGTAGACTTGTTTTGAATCTGCTGACATGGGAGATACTCTTCTGTAAGTAGATGTAGTAGGTAAGCTAATAGACATCAACAATTCCACTTCTCTCTTCAACCACTCAGAAAAATCTTGCAAATACACGTCTTCTTTTTGAATTTGTTTAGTTCTCTTAACTTCTCCCCAAGAACGTTTTGAGCTTCTAGGAAGTTTCTCTTCTAATCTAAATAGCAATTCTGGATTATCTAATTGCTTGGAACAGCCTACATTTTGAATGGCGTTAATCATGTTTGACACCGTCAAAGAAAATTGCATGAATGTGTCAATAGAATCTTCTCTGGGGGCTGGACATTTTTTTGCTTTTTCAATTTGATTTATTATTATCCATTCGTCTTTGCCGAAGTTTAATTTTAATGTATCTATGATAAGATCTATATTATCTGGACTGCGGAACAGATCTTTGACTAAATGATAAGCCCTGCCTTTCAAACATTTATTAAGACGCCCTAAGTTATCAGAATTGGATATGTGCTTCTCATTTGTGGTTCTTTTAAACTCATTAATCCAGAAGGGGAATTCATTTATGTTGCCATAAAATTCAGGTAAATCTCTTGTAGACTGTTTATTTGCAAGTTTTTCTAAATTAACTGTTAAATTTTTCATGCACTTTACTAAAGTTTCTGACAAAGTATTTTCTTTTTCACCTTTTAGCTCGGTTTCCGCAGCTTTTGTACTTTTCCCTATTTCTTGCTTGGAATGGTTGCTAGTGAAGTTAGAATCAGTTTCGCTTTGTACAGTATATTTCAAACTTTTTTGATACTTTTGAGAATATTCATCATAAGATTTATTTTCCATAAAATCTTCTGGATATTTGATTGCATTTTTATTTACTTCCATTACCCATTTATTTACAAATGAATTCTTCATCTGACGCCTGTTCATCAAGTTTAACTTTACTTTTCCCATTGTTCAGCTTCTAATTTTTTTCCTTTAGCCGATAACTGTAGTTTCTTAATTTCTTTCTGCTCCAATTCTCTGGTTTCTAAATGGATACTTTCGACAACATCAGGAGTTGCTGAATGTACGACTGAAAAACTTTTATTATAAACCAAAGTCGTAGCTAGTCCATTGTCCCTCTGTTGCGTAGCTGTACCATTTCCTGAGATGACTGCACTGGTTTCCAAACCTGTGAGATTTTCTGTCTCACCAGGTATATACCTTCTAGGAGGTACTCCAAAATTACACCTAGTGCTCTTTCTAACTATAGCTTCTTTTTCTAATTCCATAACTCGAAGGACCAATTATAGATTGCTTTATTTGTAAATTAAAGAACCTATAAGATTTTTAATTCTTTTTATTTCCAATTGACATTGAACGTATATATATATATTCCAAAAAAAAACTGTCTCCTTGACAACACTAAACTCTAACTATCTATCACTAAGAACTAAGGTATATCCTCCAAGAAAGGCTAATAAGAGGGTACTAAGGTTAATCCCTACAACAAGGTCATTTTAAAAGCTTTGCGCCATCTATCAGTTTAGCAATAGAAGCAGGATTTTCTTTCAAAGGAAACTGTAAATTATCTTTGCGACAATCTCTCTAAGGTTATGGCATCATCATACATTTCTTCTTTTGCTGCATGGGCTCAGTTTTTTACTATTACTGTCTGAGAGCTAGGTACCTGGCTTACCAAGAAGCGTGTTAGCCCTGTTAAGACTGATTTTTGTAAAGACGAAACAACCCATATAACAATAGAAGAAGACAAGGAAAAAAGAAGAAATGTATGCTGACGCCATAATCTTCGAGACAGATTGCTGAAACGGAAAATTTACAGTTTCCTTTGATATAAACTCTTGCTTATATTACTTGCTATGTAAACTGATAGATGGCGAAAGCCCTTGCAACGACCCAGTAAACCACAAATAGTCGGCATTTGCTCGGCTTGACACCGGCATGTACAGGAAGCCGAGTTCACGGATTGCCGTTGTCGGCATTTCTTCTGAGCCGGGAGGACCGTACCATTTGACGTAATTTAGAAGTAGAAACTGCATATGGTCCATATTTGGCTTTCCAGACATAGGAAGCATCCTTACGGGCCGAACGCGGTTAATATTTGGCCGAATTATATATAGATATATGAACACGGCTACAATTTAGTGGGCTGCTGATATTCGGCTGGGCGGACATACCCTACCTATATACCGAAGCTTCACCCGTATATCGGGCCGAGTCCGGCATCCGACAAGCCTCCTTCGGTCCAGTTACGGTGCCGATAAACTGTGTTTATTGGGAATCTTGCAACTGCAATATGTCTTCGATGAAATCATCTAGTGCCACTAGCGAGTGTCGGTTACGGTTACAGTCAGAATATCTGGAAGTTGATAAATGTTTTGACATGCAATAATGACTATCTCCGTAGCTGCCAGCTATCCTAAATAAGCGAGAATTAAAAACCTCCCTACCCTAAGTACATACCTTTTAGTAATTTCCATGATCCACTGGTCACAGCAGCGTTGCCATATATATCATCGATATTATGAAGAATTTCTGTTCGATTTGACGTTTCATCTTCAGAAAGAGCCCTCCATTGGGTTATTCCATCTATATTATATATTTGACTGAAATATTTATTAAAAACAAGCATTTTAAATTAATTTATAATAAACTAGTCCAACAAGTGCTAGTTTTCTTACAAATGAATAAGGTTTCTTTAAAAGACATTTATTAAATTAGAAAAAAGAAATAATCAATATTTATTTTAGCTGTATATTAATCAAAGACAACTTATAAATAACTTTCTTAAATTAAAACGCAGTTGAATATTTAATAAGATTTGGACTTAATTTTGGTATACCCTTTTATTTTCTTTGAATGATATGGACTCGAAACTCAAAAATCACGTTACTTTGTAGAGCGGTCCCAAGATGAGAATGGTACAGCCCAATGAACTGGATGCAACTCTATGGGCGAAGCCATTTTTATTGCTCATCTCACTCGCGAGTATTTATAATAACCATTTTCTGTGTCACATTGTTACTGTCCAGTCCACAAGCTGGTGGATCAGACAACAACAATGTGAAATAGAAAATGCTTATTATAAATACACCCGAGTTGAGATGACAAATAACTTGTATGCGCCCATAGAGTCGCATTTAAAGCCTATTGACAAGCATTCTACCTAAGAAGACTAGTCTTCATAATTCTACCAGACTCCAGTTCATTGGTACAGCCACGTGCTCGACGCGCGAAGGCGTGACGTCAGAGGCAGAGGCGGACGCATTTCTAGTTATTAATTAACACTCTGTTCACTTCGTTTACACTTTAGCTAGGCTGCGCCACTGAATGACTATGTTTGGCTTCGCCGGGTGGCCGTTTCTAGGCGACGTTCCACTGCGCCTTTCCGCCGTTATTCGCGATTCAAGCTAAGTGATACGCCCTCTGGAGGAAATTAGTAAAAGGTCCCTATAAGTAGGATGACGTTCAGTGTTGCCAGAAGCAGCAAAATTTCGTTACGTCATCGGATTTTAGTTTTTGAAGAAATGGATAAGACCTTTTATTTAAGAATCAAAATTTGTGTCTAGTAATATGTAATCATACTATTTATTTAAGGATTTTTTTATAAAATCGATTTATTATATTGATTTTTTTTTTAAATATCAGTTCATTTATTAATTTTAAAATCAGAGACAAAATCAGTTCATCATTTGGCAACATTGGCGTTCGTGTTCATTGTTTACATTTTAATTTGTATCAATTACAATTAGAGTTTTTTGTTACTTTTTAGCTTTAAATTTGTTTATTTCTTATAGTATGTGATAGTATTTAAATTAAAAATGAAATCTGCGAAAAAGCCTCCAGCAAATTGCAATCTGTATAGTGTTATTGTCAAAATCAAAACTGGAGTATTCATAATTTTTCAAGTGCAAGTCATAAAATTCTGTTTCTTACGATAAATGGGTATCTTCAAATTCACAATATTGAAATTTTGCAAAACGTTGTTTAGGAATCAAACTCCAATATGAGTTGTGACGGTTTTATTACCATTTACATGTGTACAAAGTACTACACAATTCACTTCATGATATAAGAATAAGGATAGTAAGATTTTTAAAGAAGTTCATCAATAATAAACGTTTGGTACCTGATATGTCCTTTAAACCACATAATAAAACATGTCCTGGGTTTAGTAAATACATATTTCTAGATGTTCTTGTAGCAACCAATAGGTCAATATTTCCAACAAATTAGTTCGTACTACACATGAAAAATTACATTTATAATGAAAGCACGAAAACTAAACTTAAATTAACACTAAATGAAACTCAAAAACACTATTATAATAAAAATATTATCTAAAAACAGTTAAAAAATCACAAATACAAAATCCCACAACACGTAAATAAACAAACATCCTACTTATACGTGACAAATGACAGGCGCGCGAAACTTAATTTGAATCGCGAATACTGTGTACCTTTCTCAACTTGGGACGGCTCTAGTTATTTAAACATTTCGATTATCATGAGCATAAACATAACTTACTGCGAACTTTTATTTAAATTTTTATAACATTGCATAGATGAAGTTGTTTCACTTAATATCTGACAATATAAGCTTGATAACCGGCTTTTTATGTTGGTTTGACGTCATCGACCATATCTACCATATGTTTTAAATTTGAATAGGTGTTTTAATTTTTACTAAAGTTTTTTAAAAGTTAGAAGTTCTTTAGAAATGATAAATTATCGTATAGCCGCACTTCAGAAAAATTAGGGGAAAGTCTATTGTATATTAATACCTCGAGTCACCTCCAGCAGCATCGATAAGCGTAGGCAGCCAATCTGCGATGTGCATTCTTTGTTTAGCCACTCTGTTAGGTTTTTTAATAAGCGGACTCCAGAAAAGTGCCGCTCCTCTTACGCCTCCTTCCCACAGAGTATTTTTTACCCCTCTGAGAGGAAAATTTGAGGCTGCGTTGAGGTTAAAGCCTTCCGCTGGTCCGCCGTTATCGGTAGTAAAGACGATCAAGCAGTTTGATAATATGCCTTTATCGCTCAAGGCTTTTGTAACTGCGCCCACTGATTCATCAAGTTTAGTCAAAATGGCTAAAATTTAAAGGTTAGTTTTGAAATAGGTGAAACTGGGTATCTTTCTGTATATAGTCAAAATTCATATGATGTACAAATAAGTTAACACAGGAAGTCTAGTGTAAAGGAACCCGATAAATAACATGAGAGGGATAGAGGTCCTCATCTGCTACCCTACTCCTTAAGAACCCACGTCAGCCAAGTTCCGCTGTCAGTCATTTCTATTTTATTGAACTTCTGCCCAAAGGGAGAATCAAAGAATTTTGGGAAGATAGAATGAGCTAGGCTTATGACCAAGTCTTGCATGCCGAAATAATAAAGAAACATATGAACATACCTTACGTACATAAGTAATGCCTTACGTACCTTATGTACATAAGAAATGCCCTTAGGAGTTGAAATCCGGTGTCATTTTCAATCCGGTCGGATTCGACCGAATCCGACTGGATTTTCATCATCAATCCGGCCGGAAGGGAAAACAATTAAATTCTCATAGTTAAAATAAATAAAATCACGAATTAAAAGTCAAAATAATTAAAATTTCAAAAAAAAGTGTATTTATCTTTAGCGTAACGTAACTGATGGTGCAGTCTTCTTAGTTAGATTTTAAACATAAAGTAGAGATCAATATTGTAAAATTAAACATAACATAATAATTAACCCTAACTGAGATCACAATAATGTCAATAATTAGCTATTTGAGAATGCTATTCAGTTTTATTTTTATATATGACAGACTCCCGAATCTATCTAATAAATAGCACAAGGCAACAATCACAATAACCAGAGATAATCCAGCGAGACGTGTAACTCAATGTATTTTTTTTTGTTCGGTAAAAGTTATTTGGGCGATTGTAACCACAACCAGTCTATGATGGCGCCACTAGTAAATAGCGGGAAAATTAAAAATGCTTTAGGGCGGGAAATTCAAACATGGATTCAGAAATAAAGTTTTTCTATACAAATTTACAGGAGAAACAAAAACTATTGTTTCACTGTATATTAAAAAAATATAAAAGCTTCCAATAACATCAAATTTTTTATCACATAAATAATCATTTTAATAAAGGAAGTTTTAATCAGTTTAATATAAACAGTGAACATAGTTTTTATTACTCTTGTAAATTTCGCTAAAAAAAAACTTGAAAATTCTATTGATTATTGAATATTTAAACTTGGAAAAATAATACACCAAACTCTTTTTCTATAAATTATATTTTTGTAAGGTACAGAGAAACAAACTACAATTGCTTCGTTTAGAAAGTACCTCGTATCATTTTGTGACAAATTACAAAGAAAGTAACAGTTGTTATATATTCATAATATATTTAAAAACTAATGTAACAAATATTTTATAAAGTATAGTATCGATACCTTTTTGCCAGACTATCATAAGTGCCATTTGAACAAATGTCACTTATGTTAGTCTGGCAAAAAGGTATGGATATGTTATGACTGTTTATTTTAATAGAAACCATGGAAACGAAACACACATACACTCAACACAAATGTATAAGGCCCGAGTCAAGTAAGTTCCCATCCTGTAAACTGGATCGAAACTCCTCTTATAGTAATCAAGATCAATAGATTTATATGCCATGCCTTCTAAAAGGGAATGAAGGATGACATACTATCATTTAAACAGGACGTTGCTGAAGGCTTACCCCTGTTATTTCGTTTTTGTTTGTGTATCTTGTGTGTGTGCATTCCTGTTGTGTCCCCAGTCATCTAAAAGTTTTCCTAGTCTCCAAATTTGGTTACTAGGTGGACCTTCTCCAACTAGTAGTCTAATCTATTCAATCTGTTCAGAAGCAGGAGGTACTTTTCAAACATAGCAAATAATATTATTAATAATAAACACTATTTAAAGATAAATACATTTTTGTAATTGCCCCTTACCTTTCTCTTACACCACCAGGGTATACCTATTTTCCATATTCCCTTAATTATAGATTACCTTACAATGTTCGAATGAATATAACATTTTACTCATGAAAAATCTAATTTCATATTTAACTCTTTTTCAATTTCATTTGAAACAATAATTGGTACTTATATTACAATTTATTATCAAAGAAAATTTCTAATAAAGTTATAGCAAATCCTACTTAAACTACTGGTTGTTCTGCAGGATAAATTAACTTTTCTTAAGATTGATCTCTCTATAAAATCCAAAACCGACCTGATGTCCCCAAATTTATTTTCCAATGCATCCTGATTTAAAATTCTGCCCTTTAGTGATTCAATTTTTTTTTTCTTCCTTTAGAGTGGCTGTTAGAGGTAGGTGTATGTAAGAAATAGCTAATCTCTAATCATTTCAAAAGTCCTTTGCCAATACTACATGTGCAGATTTTTTACTCAGCATACATTTTACTTTTCTAGTAGATAGGAACTTTGTGCTGCCATTAAAGCTGTCCAGACATTCATCTACCTACTTAATGAACACAAGTAGCTGTAACAATAGATCTCTGTCCCAATTAGAGGTGTGTCGTTCGCGAACGATTCGTTCAAAAAGAACGAATCAGTGCACTGACTCGAATGAATTGATTCCCTGTTTTTAAAAGATTCGAATCTTTTTTGAGTCAATTGCTCGATGGCTCTGCGATCGATCAAACATGCCGAGTTCCGAGTTTAGCTGCTTCGTTCATTCGATTCGGATTCGAAGATTTGGTATTTTACATCGGCATCGGCAAATTGGTCGCTTTTATTCTACGTTCTACGGCATAATACGAGAACTCTGACAGGCGGTGGCGGTATGTGTCTTTAATGTTTTTCTCACTTTACAGGAGGTGTGTATTAAGCTTAGGTAAACAATTTATGCGTGTTGTCTGATAAATAAATTGAAATCAAAGTAAAATTAAAACAAAAAATGACGAATCGTGAATATATAATTTTGCGTTAATTTTGGCTATATATTTGGCATTTAAAAAAAAATTGTGTTATTGTTGTTTATCTTAACGGACAAGGATGTATTTATTATTCAGCTGCCTTTTTTTTATGAAATATGAAACATTAATTCGCTTTACTTTAAAATAAATCTGGTTATAATTATTTTACTCGACGACCTAGTAGGTAGGTAGGTAGGTAGATTAGGTAGTACTCAAATTCGTAAAAGTTCGGTTCGATTTCCTTCGCCGGATCGGCGGAATAACATCGTTCGTGGTTCGCTAAAGTGAATCACTTGAGAACGAATCTTGAAGAACGAATCTTTTTAGGTGAATGAATCAAATGAATTAATTCAGTAAAAAGATTCGAACTTCCCACCTCTACTAACGACTCGCACGCACAAGCATTACGCGTTTAAAGTACCTATTCATGCAATAGTATGGTTATTTTGCCAAAATATGGAATCACCGGATCCGGTATATTGGTACCGGATCCGATAAGTGTATTGATGACGGATCACCAGATCCGGTTTTCCAGGTTGTAATCCTTAAATGCGCTGTCCGACTCATTCATTTCACAAACAGGAGTACTACAGGGCTCAATCCTAGCCCCTCTTCTATACCGCATATATACCCATGATCTTCCTCGACCCAAAATAATGTCTTCTATATGCTATGTTCTGCTCTCATAGCCAGAAATATTTATCAACTATGTATCCGAACCGAAAATCTGCTGAACTAGAATAAATACACGCAGATCAAATAGTTGCATTGGATTTCGAAATGAATACATGGTGAATATATAAATTTACAACGTAGCACCGAATCATTAGAAAACTAACAGTGGGAAATAGAACATTCACAATTTTACAAATAACAAAGAAGAAACTTTGAAAACAACCAAAAGACAAAACCAAAACACACAATCAGGATTAGAAAAATTAGAACAACCTTATTTATATTTCCAAAATTTAAATAAACGACAAATTTTTGGTTACGTTACGTTAACATAAGAAATATATCAGTTGTCGGTTTTGACCTTGGCCATTCCTGTGGAACCTCTATGTGCTTTGTGGTACTATAACTCGAATAATAAAAAACTTATTCGTTTGAAATAAAATTTATTTCAAAATATAAAAAAAATTGAAAATTATATATCGATGGCTTAGCGCACACATGTGTTAAGTGCAATTTTGAGACAAATTGTGTCCATGTACCTATGTATGCAAATAATGTACCTTTATTGTGGACAAATATGGCAGGTGCATACAAGGTTAAATTCTTGTATTTTGGTGTACAAATGTGATAAATACTTATGTATAAAATCACAAACGTATCAACTGCACTTGGCACATTTAGTATTTTATATTAAAAAGCACACTGGTGTTAAGTGTGCACTTGACACACTTGTGATTCGTGTTCGGTGACAGGAAGACAAAGTTAAGTGGCCACATATTAAATGAAATCGAGTCTCAAAATGCAAGCCTATGAATATTTAATAAAAGTATCTGTCTGGATAATCTTTCTTTGAAATGAACACAAAAAAAGTTCATAGCACTAGAAGATCCCACCATTAACACTTTTGAATTTTCCTTTGTGCGACTTAACATTCTTGTACACTTCGAATCTCCATGAGCTTACAAGTAAAAAAAGGACCTTTTAGAGCTGTTAAAACTAAAAGTTATACCAGAGGATTATACACAATTTATTGCAGAGATACCAACTAATTAAACAATGAATAACTCCATGTCAGATTATGATGAGTAACGTGTACAACAGTCTTATTTTGCTTTATTATGTAATCAAAAACAACGAAGAAGTCTTGAAACGAAGCTTCAAACCTTTAAACTTAAATTGTGAAATATTAGCAAAATGTTACTTAACACATGTGTGCGCTAAGCCATCGATATGTAAAATAACATTACCAAGATATCTTTCGCGCTGCAGCACCTCCTTAAGGGCAGAATCTTCACGGATTCTTTGTAACTGATTCAAATTCTTTGGTATCGTACTGTATACCTTTTCTTTAAGATAACCTCAAAAAAATCCATAGAAGTTAAATCGTGACTTTTGGGTAGCCAGTTAATATCGCCCCGCTTAGAGAACACTTTCCCCGGAAGCATGGCCCTGACG